GGCCTGGGAGGGCAGTGGAGGATGGCCCAAGTGCTTGGGCATCCTACCTAAGGGGAGACCAGGAGAGGCACCTGGCTCCTGGCTTCGGATCGGCACAGCACTGGCCGTAGTGGCCATTTGGAGAATGAACCCATGGAATGAAGACCTTTCTCTCTGTCTCTACCTCTCACTGTCTATAACTCTCCTTGTCAAAAAAATATGGACTGTTTTAGAGAATGTTCCAGGTCCTGATGAAAAGAGTGCATTCGGCAGCTGTTAGATGAAATGTCCGATCTGTCTGTAGGAGAGTTTACCCCTGATGATTCCTCAGTGAGTTTTGTCCTGGATGCTCTGTCTATTGATGCAAGTGGGGAGTTGAAGTCTCCCATTTTGGTTGTGTTTGAATTCATCGCTCCTTTAGCTGCAGTAATGTTTGGTTTATAAAATTGGGTGCTCTGGAATGAGGTAATTTGATTTTTAAAAAAGACTTATTTATTTATTTAAAAGGGGGGGGCAGAGAGAGAGAGAGAGAGAGAGAGTCTTCTATTCACTGGTTCACATGGCTGCAAGAGTTGGGGATGGGCCAGGTTAAAGCCAGGAGACAGGAACTACATCTGGGTCATCCATGGGCATGGAATGGGCCATCACCTGTTTCCCAGGTGTGTTAGCTGGTGCTCTGATTTGGGATGTGGGCATCCCAAGTGGCAGTTTAGCCCACTGTGCCCCATTGCCTGCCCTGCAAGTACCTGGTTATATCTCTATTGAATTGGTCCCTAGGTCATTTTATAGTGACCTTATTTGTCATTGCTTTTTTTTTCTTACAATGTTGCCTTACAGGCTATTTTCTCTGACTTACACATTAAGGCCCTCAAAAATTTATGGAGTAGAATTAAAAGCTTATTTTGGTACAAATTTTTTGAAATCTATGTGTTATTTTTTCACAGTGCACATTTCCTGTGGATTTTTTGAAAACTCTGGGTAGAATTGCTCCTGCCTGCGTTCGGTTCTGTTTGTGTGGAGTGGCCTCTCCCATGCACACTCATCTTCAGTGGTGAAGTGAGTTTCTGCAGGCACTAGTCTGGATCTTTGGAGGATTTCGTCTGTGTGCATTCAGGATTATTGCTGATAGGCAAAGTCTTGCTCCTGTCATTTTATCGGTTTTGCTGTGCTTGGTTGGAACACCCTTTGCTCTTCTCTTGTTGGCCATCTTTGTCATTTGCTGGTGCACCATATCGCCGAGGTCTGGTCTTGTTCTGTCTCTGTTTTTCATCTGCCCATCTAGTTTCTCTTCTTCTAACCTACGCTTTCACATGTTTCCACGGTGGTGTGTATCTTTGTTTTATCTCTGGATATAGGACTCCCTTAAGTATGCTTTGTGAGGCTGGTGTGGGGGTGGTGAATTCCCTCATGTTTTGCTTATTTTGGAAAATATTTTTCTCTCATTTCTGAAGATAGTTTTCCTGGCTGTAGGCTTTTTTTTTTTTTTTTTTTTTTTTTTTTTTGTAATCATTTAATGTGGGTCCTCAGCCAGAGCTGAGGGCCGGATCAGAGTCCAGGTGATCTCCAGCATTTTAAATGCTCACTCTTTTTTTTAAAGATTTATTTATTTATTTGACAAGTAGACAGACAGTGAGAGAGAGAGACAGAGAGAAAGGTCTTCCTTCTGTTGGTTCACTCTCCAAATGGCTGCAATGGCCAGAGCTGCACTGATCCGAAGGCAGGAGCCAGGTGCTTCTCCTGGTCTCCCATGCGGGTGCAGGGCCCAAGTACTTGGGCCATCCTCCACTGCCTTCCCGGGCCACAGCAGAGAGCTGGACTAGAAGAGGGGCAACCAGGACAGAATCTGGCGCCCCAACTGGGACTAGAACCTGGGGTGCCGGCGCCGCAGGCGGAGGATTAGCCTAGTGAGCCATGGCGCTGGTCCCTGGTTGTACTATTCTTAGTTCTTTCTTTTTTTTCTTTCATTCCATTCCCCCATCCTGTAAGGTGTCTGTGGGAAAGCTGCTGTCTTTCCAGCTGGGTTCTCTTCGACGCGATTTGGTGCTTTCTCTGCAGTCTTAGAATTCTCTGTCTTACACTTCTGACCTTGACGGTCACAGGCTGTGGTGAGGATTGAGTTTGGTCACATTTGTTTTCACAGACATCCTGTTCCCTGATGTCTTTGTCTTTCCCAAGATTGGTGATCTTTTTATCTATTATTTCATTGAACAAATTTTCTATGTCTTTTCCATTCTCTTCACCTTTTAGAGCACCCCAAATTTAAGTATTTGTTTAGTGGTGTCCTGTAATGGTTGAAGGCCATTTTTATTCTGTTTTTGGTCTGACTTGGATTTCTAAATACTTAAAATTCAAATTGTTTTCCTGCTTGATGTAGTCTGTTGACTATATTTCAACTATATTTTTTATTTGGTGTATTGAGTTCTTTATTTCCAAGATTTCTGCTTGATTCTTTTCATGATCTCTATCTCTTTGCGGAATTTCTCATTCATATCATGAATTGTTCTCCTAGTTTTATTGAATTGTTTTCATGCACTCTTAAATCTCATTGAGTCTCCTTATAGTCACTCTTAGAATTCTTTTTTTTTTTTTAAAGATTATTTATTTATTTGAAAGTTAGAGTTACAGAGAGAGAGAGGAAAGGCAGAGAGAGAGAGAGAGAGAGAGAGAGAGAGATCTTCCATCCACTGGTTCACTCCCCAACTGACTACAACGACCAGAGCTGTGCTGATCTGAAGCCAGGAGCCAGGAGCTTCTTCCAGGTCTCCCACATGGGTGCAGGGGCCCAAGGATTTAGGCCATCTTCTATTGCTTTCCCAGGCCACAGCAGAGAGCTGGATTGGAAGTGGAGCAGCCGGGACTGGACTCAGCGCCCATATGGGATGCCCGCACTGCAGGTGGCGGCTTTACCCGCTCCTCTGCAGCACCGGCTCCACTCTTAGAATCCTTTATGAGGCATTTTGTGAGCATCCTTTTCCTTGGGGTCTGTGCCTGGAGCATCATGGAGTTCCTTTGGAGGGGTCACATTACTTGCTTATTTCACACTTCTGCGGCCTTGTGTTGAGAT